CGGCCCGTTTGAGTCATGGAGTTGAGTCAGGCGTTTGGGGAACTGGGGTGAGTCGAGGTGATGGTTTAGCGCTCAGTGTGGACTTGGGCACTTGGTGGGGAAACTTAGGAGGAATCGTGACAGTACCCCCTCTTTAAGATGTGTTTTTGCCTGGAACACCTTTATTTCGTTGGCTCCTTCTCTTCTCTGGTTCTCGGTATGCCGCTGGATGCCTTTCATGGAATTCCGCAATCGCCTCCTTTGCGTTCTCTACGTTTGACTTGGGCTCCCATGAGTCTTCTGATTCTGGGTAATCGGCCCATCGGATGTAGTACTCGATTGGAATACGTCGATCGTCTGGCTTTCTTGAGTCCAGTATCTCCTCCACTTCGTATTCCGTGTCTTCTGGCAAGAGTTCGGGCAGTTGTCCAGGGTAGTTGGGTCCGTGAGCGTCTGTCTCCTTGTAGTGTTTCAGTAGTGAGGCGTGGAACACTGGATGTATTCTCCACTTCTTCGGGAGCTTCAGTCGATAGGTTACTGGGCCTTGTCCTAAAGCGCTAGACGCAAGGACTTCGGATACAGAGACGACGGCGGCAGAAGTCGACTAGCAGAGACGACAGCAGAGACGGCGAAGGCAGTGAGCAGATAGCAAGGGCAGATAAAGGAGCTGGTCCCAACGACAAGTCAGATACATTGCAGATAGAGAAAGACAGAAATAACTACTCACCTGGTCCCAACGACAAGAGGTCAAGATGAGGGACCAGGTGTAAACTACCTAGCTTATATACCCAGTCAGAGGTCTGAGATATGAGTCGTGAACGAATAGGAAAGACAATAAGAAAACAATAAGGAAACAATAGTAGTCAAGTATAAGACAATAGCGAGTCTGGAATGAGTAACTAGGAGATGAGGGAAGACAATAAGAACAATAGAATGAATGGGTCGTGAAGAAGGTGTAAAAGACAATAGTGTGAGAAGGAAATATGTGGGAAGGGGAAACGGGCGTCTGGTAGGCGTCAAAGAAACAAGTAAGCGCTGAAAGGGGAACAGGCGCTGAGAAATGAAAAGATAGGGGGGAAAAGCGGCACTTCATGACAGGCCTAGTACATCGAGGACTTCGAATGGGCCATGCCGTTTGTTCGATAGTTTCGCTTTTGGCCTCGTACTTTTTATGTTCTTTCCGTCTAGGGTTACCAGGTCTCCTTTGTGGTATATCTGCCCTTCCTTTACCAGGTCATCATTCTGTCGTCGCATCCTTTCAGCTGCCATGTTCAGGCTCGCCTGTATTTCCTGACAAATTTCTTCCATTAATCGTAGACGATCTTCTACCGCAGGGACCTTAGACGTGGGTTCTGGTGAGGGGAACATCTTTGGCAAGAATCCATGAAGGGTTTCGAAGGGCGATCGGTTTGTTGCGGAATGTGAACGCGCATTGTGGCAAAATTCGGCGTATGGGAGCCATTTGACCCAGTCGTCTTGTCGATAGTCACAGTAGACTCGAAGGAATTGTTCTAGCTCTTGGTTGTATCTTTCGGATTCCCCATCTGTCTGTGGATGATATGCCGTGCTGAGTGCAGATTCGATTCCTAGCTTCGCCCATACCCCTCTCATTACTTTCCCTGCAAATTGGGGTCCTCGATCTGAAATCATCTTATCCCATAGCCCGAATCGTCTCCATACGTGTTGTAAAAGTAATTCCACTGTTCCATTGCTGTCAATTGTTTTGTTGCAAGGGATCAGAATGACTGCCTTTGTAAGGCGATCCACAACTACCAGAACTGAGTCGTAGTCTTCTGAGATTGGGAGGTCTGTGATGAAGTCTGCTGTGATGATTTGAAATGGTCGAGT